CCTCAATTCAATATTTTTTAAAATATAAAATATGAATAAACTATTAATTATGAAATCAGTTGATTCTCTTAAAGAGAGCTTTATGAAATCTGGATATTTCAAAATTGGTAGGGAAAATTTCTAAATAGGAAAAGAAGTATTTGAAATATTACATTAACATGTTTAGATACAAAAGTTTCCTAGTTCATAAATGCCAACTATCAGAAAGAAAGAAGAATAAAAAATTCATGAAAACAGTAAAATATTTATATAATTAGTAAATATGGATGCCCCAGGTCTAGAAAGGCTGCTAGATAAAGAATGTTCATAAATATGGGTAGTATGTATATCTTTTCCCACATGTAAATATAGATCATCAAGTGTAGCAAAAGGTATATGCTCAGAGAGGTATATTATTGATTAAATTCTTTATTGCCTTTGACCCTACCTTATGTGATCAGAGGGACAGATGCCATTTTTCTAATTTGTAACACAGAAAACAAAACTAAAATAGCAAAATGTTTTTTTCCCAGCCAAATCCCTGTTCTCAAAAATAAACCTGATTTAATGACTCTTTGAATCTGTTGACTGCTAAGATAATTGGTTCTTAATCTTTATAGGCAAAATGATTCTTAAAATTGTCTACTATAATCCCTTCATTTTACAAAACAGAAAAGTGCAGAGTCTACTTCACATTCCTCGTCTGCCCCTATAATAATCGCTTCTATTCGAAGTGGCTCTGTTACAAAGTCCCATCAAGTGTGGCAGAGCAGTAATTGGCCACATCAACAAAGAATGAATGCCTGCATGAAACAGTACCAACCGCTAAGGTCTCAGGAAACCATCTGTCACATAATACAAACACAGGGATTTCATCTGTCATAAAACACTTAATAAGCGTTATCTCTATCGGCTTTCTAAACAAAATGTTGAAAATAATATCTAGCCCTTGATGAGGCACTAAACCAAAAAAAGTGATGCAAAAAAGCAGCACTGGGTTGGGAGTGGGGCAGTAAGGTTCTCAGCACTGCCACTCTTATGCACAAGGACATCAGTTTCTATAACTCAAGTGAGGGGTCTGATTTAAATGATACTTTCAGTTCCTTTTGGTCTTAACATTCAATAATAACAGTATATTAAAATGAGCCT